TCTTTCCCTTAAGACTTTATTGGGTTATAATGCCTTGAGGGTAAGAATTCTCTACCATGAGCATCTCCGCTGCACACGTATGGGTTTTCCATAAATACCTGTTGAGTGTTGCTGACTGATCAGCTTTGTTGAAGGAAACGACAAAGTGCGAGGGCTCTGCTAACAGCTTGGCCAGTCAGATGACTGCACCGACCTGTTTGCAAAACCAGGCTGCCAAGTGGCCTAGACAAATATTTAAGAATGTATTAAATGAGGCCAAGTGGATGAAAGCACTATAAAAAGTACAATACAATATGCAAAAATACTGTATTACTATTGTAGTACTAATAAACAATAAATGTTTTAGGTTTTGTATTTTAATGGAAAGATTGGAAGAAAAAGGCATTACAAGCTGGCTATTCTTTCTTGGAGAAAGTGAAGATCAATAAGTAGTAAAGGCAGGCAAGGTCAATCGTAGACAATGGCCAAGTCTTGAGATGGGCAGAGCTGGAAAGCTTCCTACCTAGTTCTTTGAAGACAGCTTCACTCTATTTCTGAGCAAGAGAAATTATGCTCATAGCCCCTTCAACCTTCTCCTCCTTGCCTTCTCTTTCCTCTCCCCGGTCAGAAGGACTCACCCCATTCCCTTGCTAGAAGACGTGGCCAGCCCAGGGACACAGAGACTTGAGGGTTTATGCCTCATAGGTATTTGGAATTCTGGGCTGGAGCCAGAGACTTGGCTGCCAAGCTGGTAACAGGAAATCCTGGGCCTGACCTGGCCCCACAAAAACAGATCCTGAAAGGCCAGAAAGTCTCAGCTCATGTCACACACCACTGGGATGTGTCCACCACCTATAGAAAGTAGACTTGAGCTTGTAGAAAAGAAAGAATTCTGAAAAGGAAGGAAGGTAGGAAGGAAGGAAGGAAAGAAGGAAGGAAGGAAGGAAGGAAGGAAGGAAGGAAGGAAGGAAGGAAGGAAGGAAGGAAGACTCTGCAGTCACAAGAAGACTAGGCAGGGGTGGGGGGTAGGCAAAATGAGTGAAAAGGGTCAAAAGTACAAACTTACAGTTACAAAATAATAAGTTCTGGGGATGTAATAAATAGCATGGTAACTATAGTTAATAATACTCCATGATATACATAAAGGTTATTAAGGAAGTAAATCTTAAAAAGTTCTCATCACAAGAAAAAACTTGTAACTATGTACTATGATGGATGTTAACTGGACTTACTGTGGTGATCATTTTGCAATATATATCAATATCAAATCATTATGTTGTACACCTCAAACTAATATGTTATATATCAATTATATCTCAATAATCATAATAATAATAATAATGATGATGATGAAGACTAGAGGTACAAACTGGATCCTTCAGAATCGCTGACCATCTATAGCCACAAAAAACCATGGAGATGAGAGGGTCCAGCTTCCCCATTCGACAGGTGAGAAATCTGAGCCTCCAGGAAGTTGGGAGATGACTCAGAGTCACACAGCACTGGGAATTACCTGCATAAAGGACCGAGCTCCTGAGTCCTGCTCCAAACTCTTCCCACTGCTGCTGTTTTACCCTTCAAAAGCTGAGGACCACCACACACCCTCCAAACACCCTCCAATTATTCCATGACAACAAACAAGGAAGAACAGACAATATTAACTAAGCACAGAGGCTGTCAAACACTGTCCCAGGTGCTTCAGATCCATTTTTTCCTGGTTACTACTACAATCATAACCTTTATCCATTAGACATTTTAATCACTGTCATTTAATCACTGTCATCTGTATTAATTAGGTAGTATTAGTTCCATTTGTAGAAGAGGAAACTAAGGCCAAGGTCATATAAGTCATAAGAACAAGATTTTTTTCCCTTTTCTACCTCCTAATAGTCCTATTCTTTTCCCCAACAACACTTAAATTAGATACACATGTAATTGGGAACACGTTAGAAAATCCACCAAAGCCAAATTAACTTTAAGCATTCTACTCCTTGTCATAGTTCGGAACACACA